CAATGAATTTACGACATCAATTCAATGACATAACATTGTCATCGTTGAATTACAAATATTCACATGATATCTATAGATTTAAAAAATAATTAACCAAATGAATAATTTACTTTCATTCTAAAATCCAAATATTTTATGAGTGATGCGAAATCCCATGACGTGGATAGGTTGTTTTCGAATTCGATATTTTAAACTTAGGAATTTGCATCAACAAAAGTTAACTAAATTTATAATCCAATTAATTAATAAGTTTTTAAATGTATGGTTTGCTAGTTTTGTCCACATATTATAAGCAAAAAAAAAAAAAAAAGAGAGTAATTTTAACCAATCAAAACCAAATCTAGCACAATTGGAGGATAAAAACAATAAAATGGGACCAATTTGGTTTAAATTTTGAGAAAAATTATTCTAGTAATATAACATAAAATCTAATTGAATTTTTAAATTGATAAATCTAGTGACTAGTTAGATCATCAAACTAATTTCTTTTTTTTTTAAAAAAAAATATGAAACTACATATATCTCTAATTCATTAGTAAATCAATAGATAAATTATTAAATATATCATAGTAATTTCATCTTATGATTCAATCTCACAAAAATTCTTTTTTAGACATCTAGTTTTTAATATAGTAAATTATAAAGACATGTGTCATCAAGTATAAAGAAATATGATAAAATATTTAATATTCAAAATTTGGAAAAGTCAAAAATAGCTTTTAAGATTTTATAATTTTTTTAGTTTAGAAAAATTTTGTAATTTAGTTTAAATCCTAAGATTAGGAGTAAAAGGATTGAAATGAAATGAAAGATCAAATATATAGAAATAAAAAAAATACTCTTAAAGCGTTGTTTCTCCCTCGATCATCCTTTTTAAAAACTTACTCTCGCTTTTGCTTTAGGTCCTCTCCTTACTAATCATTTTCTTTCTAATAAGAATGACAAAATTTCTTGGTTTTGAATGTGTTGCTTTTGTATAGGTTTTCAATTATAAGAGATTTTTCGTTGTTTACTAGTTCTAAGCATTTTAATTCGCAAGTTCTTTTCTTCTGCTCTTTGTTCTTAAATGTGTTATTCTCTTTCAATACATGGGTTTTGTTAAAATAATGAATCCTTTTAAAATTGATATAATGTGTTGTTTTTTCCTAAGAAAAGTTTACAAAAAGAAAGAAGGATAATAAGATATTCAAGATTCCATTTTTTCTTTCATCTTTGTAGTTGTATTGATTTTCGGTGAGTAAGGATCTTTCTTGCCTATTTCTTAGCCCATACTATGTAGTGTCCTCTCCTGTTATTGTAACCTATCTTTATTAATACGATGTGCTTATGGTTTTTATTGAAGTTTATATTTTAAAATACTCATTATCTTTTGGAGGTTTGTTTGTGTTGGAAATCAATTCCTTTCAAGAATTTTGTGAAAACTATAAAGGTATGGTCTTCCACTTTAAAAAAATAGCTAAATAGTGATGTATATTAGCGACGAACATGAAGTTGTCGGTATACGATGATGGATTACCAAATGAGTAACGATTGTTATCAATTTCTAAAAATTTTGGCTTAATAGTGACAGAGTATCGACGAATTTACGATGGTAATTCAATGACGGAACACTAAAAAACCCTCACCACCCTTTCTTTCTTCCTTCGACGACCTTGCATGGCTAACAACGACACCTCCTCCTCTTTTGTTTTCTAATGCTTTTATTCTTTTGTGATACGTGTTTGTTTTCCTTTTTTTTTTTTTTTTTAATTTATTCAGTATATATATAGTGGATCTCTAGCGGCGAATCCTTAACCCCGATTACAATTCACCAATTGTTAGGTACGATTTTAGTTTATTTATTTATTTATTTTTAAATTTTAGTTGATAATATTTGTTATTATTGTTTTTATTAATTATTAATTATATTTTAATGTATGTTATTTGTTCTTAATTAGTTATAAATCTTATTATTATTGTTAACTAGTTGTGTTAATATAAGTTAATTAATTTGTTGAGATATTTTTCACACTTTTTGTGTTTTTTTTTCTTATTTTTAATAATAGTTTTACATTTTGTTATTTGTATTTCTATTGGTTGATTAGTTGTAATTAGTTGTTGCTTATCATATACATATTTATGTCAATTAGTAGTGAATGTAATAATTTATTTGTAATTATAATTTTCATTAGTTGTTAATTAGTTATGATAATTAATTTATTACTTTTGTCTCAATAAAAAGAATTTTTATATTAGTTTTTTTTTTGGGCTTAATTAATTAATGTGGCATATTTAATATTTAATATTTATTTTTTTAGCATCGATATCCTGCGATAAAACTTTGGACACAACAATCTTCCATTTAGATGGTACTTCTATTGATCTAGGTTTTTTTTTATTTATCTCGTGTATTTTTTTAATTTGAATTGTAGTTAATATGTTGTATTTTATGTGATTCAAGTGTAGTTGTAGTAAATATGATAATTTAGAATACTTTAGATTTATTTGCGTGTTGATATTACTAGCCGAGGATCCCCGTAGAGAGCCGTGGTACATGTGTTGTGTTTTTGACTTTGTTATTCTTTATAAATGTGAAGTTTTCGACAATTAGAAAATGTCTAGTTTACAAGAAAGACTCTATCAACATTTTAGATTTTTAGGAAAAGATGTATAAAACATTTTCATTGATACTCGCATAATTAGAAAAATATGGTAATTAAGTAATGTGTAATTGAACCCTCCTAGATTGTGTAGAAGTCGGTCTTTTAGGAGATTGAAGACTTCTATTGGAATGAGTTTAAGGTAGCATATTAATTATTTATTTATATTATCTTTAAATTATTTCAAGTAAATCTAACATGAAATGTATTACTATTTATTTATTTTTGTTTTTGTAGAAGTACTTTATATGGAAGGAAGCCATTGACGTCCCGGTTAAGATAGCATGAGAGTGTTAGGCTTATAAGCATTATGTTGACATGTTGACCAACCGAAAGAGGTACCCGTCTGTCTTATAATAGGCGTGGGAGGGATGGCGACAACAGTGGGCCACACTTGACTTTCGAGCCTATTCCGAGTAGGCGGCCTAGAATCACATGAGTGAGACGGGTGACACCAATGCTAGCCCATCTAAATGTATGGGAATTTCATCTCATAGTTGAGTAGGTTGAACGCATGGTAAATCCTATTATCCATTATATTATAAATTATTATTTGCAAGTATTGCAACTTATATCATTTATGTTAACTTTTTCGAAGCTAAGGAGTTGGATTGTACCCCAAGTCCTTATGAGGACTTACAAGTGGTCGGATGGGTCATTCAACGATACGCCATCCAAGACAGCTTAAAGTAAGTGTTTTATTTTTTTTAATTATACATGTTCCAATTTAATCTAAAATTAAATTTATTATTTAATATTGTAATTTTTTTCATTTATGTAGGAGCAAATGGACTCATTGTGTGAGGTAGCTACTAGCCAAGCATCGAAAGGTTCTTCATCGTTGTCGAACATTGACATAATTTGGATATATTTCAAGGTTGTAGGAGGAGAGAAGAAGAATAGAGTGTACATGCTCAAATCATAAACATCCTCATATTATTCGCATTCTAGTGTCGGCTCATTCTTTACCACATCGTGGTTCTATGATGGTATGTAGTAGAATAATGAGCGATGATCGATAATAGCTTTGAGTGAAAATAGAATGTGATTGGGCTAAGCGAATCTAAGAGATCAAGAAGGAACACAAGACATAATATTAGCTTCTCTAGCAGGGAGTTGCAGGGGACTCGACGAAGTAGCGAGGAGAAGATGCAACGACATGAGCAAGCATATATAGACCTATGATAGGAGATGCAACATCCGTGATCGGAGATGTAGACTCGCATTCACCCACCCTTCCTTCCTTCTTACCCTCCCTTTACCTTGCAACCACCCTTTCTTTCCCATATCCAGGTAGTCGCTAAATGATGATGATCTCTCACCTGTACCCGGTCGATCGGACGAGCTCTTTTTGTAATTTTTTATTATTTTCGTACATTGAAGCACATTTGTATATTTTTTATTTGATTTTATATTATTTTTATTTTACATAATAATATTTTGTGTTATAATTTTATTTTTAGTTATTTGCTACGATAATTAAATATTAAACCACTAATAACAAATTAAAAAGATTATATTTTTTTCAATAGCAACGGATCAACAACCGACCGATGATGAAAAAAAATTATATCAATTATTGACGGACAACTATAGAAACTGTTGCTATATGATCGACCAATGGTGATAGATTCCATCGCAAATCACCAACAAATAGCAAAAATTTTCATCAATATATTAGCAACACCAAGTTAAGATTTAATGATTGCATTTAGTGTCCAAATTTTACAAAGGATTTCCATCTCTATATGGCAACAAAAGTAAAACAACTTACCTATGGCGTTGCGAAAGATGTTAAAATTACAGATTAACTTTTTACTTGACATTAGCAATATAAGTATTTCACTACAGTGATAACTTGTTTGTTGTTAATTTTATGACTAATGGTAACTTCCATTGCAATTGAATTTTATTAGATATATAGTAATTGTGCAAAATAAAAGACTGAACACCTATTTGAACAAAATTAAAAATCAGATATCCCATTGAAAAAAATCTAATAAATTCAAGCACTCAAGATCAAGTTATCCATAAAATAAAAATTGACAAAAAAAATTCGAGAGAAAGAAGTGGCCAAGTGGGTTTGAAACGTACTGAAACTGATTTCTTACACCATTAAATGAGGATGGATCGTACTCGTGCCAAACACGAGGTGTAGAAGGACGGCCAGGCCTCGAAATCAGATCTAAAGTGCTCAAGTCAAGACCAAGTTCGGGCACTTGGGAATCAAGCCAGAACCTGATCCTCGAAGCTTGAGGATCGAGCTCGTCAAACTGAGACTAGGTTTAAGACGCCATTGATAGACTCGAAACTGAGTCAGAGGTGTCTAGGTATTAGGCCGAGACTCAGTTTGGGCAGCCCATGAGTGTGTTATTGGGTACTCAAGATTTGAAAGAAAGTAAAAGTCCAAACCGTTTAGGGTCCCCAGCCACGACCAAGTCTGAGAAGCTAAAGGGCTGGGGTCTTGTTCATGTCATCTTGAGGTCATGTTCGGGGCCCCTTAGTTTCAAGTCCTGGAAACCTTAAAGGTCAGGTCGAGAATATACCCAAGAAGATGGGCAGTCGGGTTCAAGACTCGATACTGTCCATTACCCATGGTGCCCAAGGGTCAGGTTCGAGGCTGCCAAAGGCTGGGACAACTTCGGGACGAGAGCATCAAGGCTGAGCTGGGTAGAGACTAGGTTCAAGATGTCCCAGGTTAAAGATTGATGCACTCGCAAGGATTAGATAAGGATCATACGGCTCAATTGCAAATAACAAGAGCATCAGTCGAAATTACTTGAGCATACAGTTAAAAGACTAATTGCATTTTATGAAAAAACAAAACACTAGGAAGAAGAAGAAGAAGGAGCTGGCCAACCACACAAGTTTTCAATTTTTAAACAACAAAAATAAAAACAGAAACATAAAACGAAAATGATGCCAATTCAATATAAGAATAAATAAGAAAGCCTCATGCAAGTGGCAAAATGTATCCACACTTAGTAAGCATTTTTCTAGCAAGTTAGGTCACCAATTTGCACCATCTGCATCACGAGACTGGTAAAAATCATTTGGCTGCACAATGTTGACATCCTCAAATTCATTGTCATCTGGAATCATGAAAGAAAACAATTATAAAGCCACCTCAAGATCATTTAAATTTCATTACAGTAATTCCTAACTAAACCATCTTTCATGCATGCACGGCCAAAAACTGCACGTCCTGCATAGAGTGTGATGCAAGCACTTCATACTAATCACAACGTGTAATACCTATACTACTTTTACCTTGTTATTCTATCTCCAAAAAAGGGCAAGAAAACGAGGGTGCCATTATCCATCTCAGAACTATTCTGTCTTAAAGTCAAAGCCGATTTACAACAAGGTCTCCCTATTTTAGCGATACCTTGTTGCAGATCATTAGCTAAATAAGCGTAATGGAGTTGGTCCATGAACATTAGCTAAAAGCCAATCTCATAAAAGAGGTCATATATTCTATGGCTGAAGTATCTCCAATTTAAAAAGGATGTGATGACACTAAAAAGCAGCTGTTTTGTGTAAGAAAGGAACATGTTCAAGTTCTTATCTAAATTAAGTATAGATACGCACAATCATCACTGTATACTACCAAAGAATATACATTATCATTTAAGAAAGTAAGCTTGACTAGGCTCATATAAGAATTTATAGGAAGGTCAAAATGTAAACAACAAACAAAAACAGAAAAAGTGTGCTGGTTGAATAACCTAGAATATGTCACGCCCCAAGTATATCAAAATATTCCACAGAAATTTCTCAATTTCAGGGAGCCTTTGGCTCAATAAGTTCATTTAGAAATCCCCAAACCTAGCCACCTGTTTCAATCAAATGTGGAATTTAAATAACTACATTTGACTTCGATGGGACCTGTGTTTGAAACAGAATACTTAATGTGTGTGTTGGGGGGTGGGGTTGGGGTTGGGGGTCGGGTGGTGGGGGGTTGTGGGGTGTGGGGTTTGGGGGGTTGGGAGATCACAGCCTCTTCTACTAAAGGCTCCATTTTTCTCTTTGCTTGTCCCACAAGTGTAACTGCAACTTAAAATTACAGAAAGAATATGTGCACATAAATGCACGTCTGTAAATTATTTAAACTAAGACATTCTTAGAACAGCCAATTGTGAGAATTACAAAGTTTAAACATATTGGTCATTTACTTTTCAATAATACAAATTTAATTATAAAAGCACAACCATTGCATAATTGCATTTCAGCTAGGAAAATGAAATATGAATGTATCCATCTAAAATTAGAAAATCAAGGGATAAAGGGCCAACCTTTTCTTAAGGTTAGTGCCACAACAGCATCATTTTCCACCTGTAAAAGCAATGGCGAATTTATTCAAAATCTCAAATAAAAACCAACAGAACTGCACACATCAAATGCCACACCCACCCACACACACACACACGGAGCATCATAACAGAATAAAACATTTCACTACCTTCTGCTCTGCCAGCGACTTTGAATCCTCCAATGCTTCCCCTGTTCCAACTAAGATCAACCGCTGATCATTAACTGGTTGATCAATGAGGGCATTCAATTTCTGTTTGATATCCAGAGTTTTCTCAGTTGGATCGCACTGGATGAAGTAAGTTGTTTTGTTACGCTTAACCCGAATATACATAGCCTGTACAATCAATCAAGAGAGTGGAGGGAACGGATGAAAATGGATTTTAACAGCTGAAATGTATCTGTAACACATTTGGTGGAACAATAATTTAGTCTAATCATTTTCCAGGCAAGCCTATAGAACTTCTGAATGGCAATAGTAGAGCTTCCATTTAAAACAAAGTGTGAGGCCTTACTTGAATAATTGAAGAGGAAGCAACAAATACATCAAAAAAACAACATAAAGGTAGAAATATTTTACTCATACAAAGATATTATAGGCACTGAAATAGTATAAAGGTCACTGTTTCAATTGCTTCATCATGTAGGATTTTTTCCAGCAATATACAGCTCAAATTTTAATCTAAAACGCTAGATCAGTATGCTAATAAGCTCATCAAGTTGTTGGCTGTTGTCACTATTCATCTAAAAGAAGTAGTAAATCTTTTAGTTTCATGTGATCAGAAAGATGAAGCATCCATCGGTAAATACATGTAAGAATATATCACCATAGGCAATGCATTACTAGTCATTAGTTACTCAATATATCACCATAGGCAACACATTACTAGTCATTAGTTACTCTAAAAAAAAAAAATAATAAACAAAATAAAAATAAAACCTCCAATTATGGTTTCATATGTTTGTTTAAAAATAACTGTCAGCTAAACAAAGCAACCAAGCAATCTATGCAAGACAGCAAAGATAGATAACTTTCACACCGAAACAATTAAATAAATAATATCGATATTGAAAACCCTTCATTAATAAAAGAAAAGCAGATAAATTTGTGCCCCTTTTCTACAAATGGAATTGCTTGACACTCTATTGTCTTGTTACGCTTAACGCAAATCTGCATAGCCTATACAAAAACTTAAGTAAAATCAAGCAAGAGTAGAGGGACCAGAGATTTGAACTAAACGAAATGGACATGTAACAATTTTTTATTTGTTGTAATAATTTTCTAGGCCATTTTGTAGAACTTCCAGTAAAATAGAACGGCTGAATAGCAACACTAATGTTTCTAGTTAGAACCAAGTTTGAGGCCCTTTCTTGAATAGTTGAACATGATGCAACAAATACATATAGAATACAGTATAAAGGTAGAAATATTATTCTTATACAAGGATATTATAGGCATTGAGGTGGTTTAAAGCTCATAGTTCCAATGGCTCAACATGCAGAAACATAACTTTTCTGCCATAAATCTTTTAGTTTCATGCAATGAGAAAGATCAAGCATCCATTTATGAGTATAGGTAAGAATGAATAACCAGGGGGCACATAGGCAAAACATCACTCATCTTTAGTTACTCTTCAAGTTAAAAAAAAAAAAAAAAACAAAAACCCCCAATTCTATTTAAAAATAAGCTCTGTTGAAATCAACTGGAATTCATTCAATTCTTTCTTTGCAAAAATAGCCTGACAACAAGCCAGCAGATGCAAATATTAATAACAGGGGGTAATCTTATAGAGCGCTTCATAATCCACTCGTATGTGTGCTCCTCTAATAAATGTAAAAATTGCCCATTTTATCTTTTAACTACAGAACCTGAAGCCACCACCTCTAACAATCTATTCCCTTTCATTATTCTTTATTTGAGTACTAAATGTAATGTAGGAATTCTAGCGTCAAAGCAGTTTCATCTTTCTACAGATGGTCTACCTCCTTGCAGGAATTCCAGCATGAAAATGCAAATCAAAACGAATATTTTTTAGGGCAATTATTCCAATTCTCTCTCTCCTAAATATTATCTCGACCAATTGAGTCTGTGTTTAAAAAAGCTTAGTGATGAGCAAAGCAAAATAAAGCAGCAAAGCAAGTAGCAATTTCAGGCTCTTCAGCTACTCATGCATCATTCATTGCCTGTATCATCAACTGCATCAACTTAACACAAACTTCATCAATATTGAATCTTATCAGGACGCACAAAACTCAAAAGCTTTAACCATTCAAAATTGACATCTGTTGTGCTAGCAATCTTTACTAATATGACCGAAGATTTTCCAGTTGCCACACTAATAAAGCTTCCATGCATTTTCAACATGGTCATGAACAAAATTTCTGTCACCAATAACCAAAAATTTTACCTAAGCCATATCATCATCACCTTATAAAAGCAAACATTAATCTTAGCCTGGAAACTGTAGCCATATATGATATAACCAACACTCAATTGGACAATTACACGGCCATAAATACTAACAAAGATAAACATTAGCCGATCAACTACTCAGCACGCACAAAGTTTATACATCACTTCATTCGTCGATCAATGTAAGACAACAAAGATTTCTTACCAAAAAAAGAAAATAATAATTTTGATATTCGAAGTCTTTCATTCATTCAATAAAAGAAAAGCAGATAAATTTGTGCCACTTTTCTACAAATAGAACTGCTTTAACCATGAAAGACTGATAAAAACAAGAGGGGTATAAAATGCTCATACCATTTTCTTTACAGGGAACTTGATAAATCACTCCTGCAAAAGGACAAGAGAGAGAGAGAGAGAAGAATGAATACCCATAATTTTTGGCCTCGATAGAGCAAAAACTAAAGCACGATTGTCAATTTGGGAAATTTTGGTCATCAAGTAAATCTCAGAAAGTGCAGAACCATTCAAATTACAAAAGAAAAGAGGGAATTGAAGTGAAGAAACTTAATAGGAAAGTGTAATTTCATATGGAAGTGTAAAGGAGAGAAGAATCGAGGGACTAAAACGTACCCAATTACTTTCACCGAACTGACGGAATCGTGATTTCTTCTTCTGCTTTTGATGATCTCTCCGTAATCTAAAGATTAACAACGTTACCTTGCTTGTACAAGTTTCCCATTGTTTTTTAGTTGAAGAATCTTCGAATACTGTTTCGGGTTGTGTTTGGCTGCAGGGTTTTGGCTGTCTTCCGATTCGCGACGCATGGATTTGTTCTCTAATGGCTAAAATAAAAATAAAATAAACAAATAGAAAGATAACTTAATCCTTAATTAAAAATTTTTAATTAAAAGGTTTATTATATTAATCCTCTTTCATATATATATATATATATATATATATATATATATATATATATATATATTATTTTGTTTATATATCTGAAAAGTAAAAAGTAACTGTAAATAAAAAATAAAAAACTAATTATGAATTTTTTTTTCATGAGCTATAGCATGTTTGTTTCTTCTATTATATTTCATATATTCTATTATATTTCATATATTTTAACCATTAAATATCACATGCAATTTACATATTTTCTTTAAAAAATGCTAAAAAAACCATAAAAAACTAATTTTTAATAACTAAATGATGCTACACAATATTTCGTAGGTTAATTTTTTATGATAAAATGTGCCATTGAAGTATTAAAATAAATAAATCATTCAAAACATCATTTAGTTTAAAGATTAAAATTAGAGAAAAAATAATTTAGGGTGTGCCAATCAAAATGAATCAAGAGCTGGTGCTTGGCTGCTCGACAATTTCAATCCTTGTCCGGAACTAGAGTTACTTCAAACAGGACAAGAGAAGCACACACTTGCGCACACGGCACCCTTACCAACCAAGGAAACGAAAATAAAAACAAGGAAGAAGAATCGCCTCGATCACATCACCAATCGCCATGGGCAACACATCTTCCATGCTCACTCAATACGACATCGAAGAAGTCCAGCAACACTGCAGCAACACCTGTATGTAATTCTCTCCCTTTCTTCTTCTCTCCACTGAATCAATCGACAACCGTTGATTTGATTTGATCTGAACTGACCGCATTATTCTTATTATTATGTATATGTAGTTTCGCAGCAAGAGATAGTGTCGTTGTACCAGAGATTTTGCCAGCTGGATCGTAACGGTTGCGGTTTCGTCCCAGCCGAGGAGTTCCTTTCCGTTCCTGAATTTGCCGTCAATCCTCTCTCTCAGGTTCTTCATTTAAAATTTTTTCCGTCTCTCTTTGTCTGTGTATTGTATTTTTGTTTTTAGTTCTTTGATTCGTGTTTTTCTTTTTTGGAGTAATAGAGATTGTTGAGAATGGTAGAAGGATTGAATTTCAAGGAATTTGTGGCATTCTTGTCTCCCTTCAGTCCTCGAGCTCCTTTGCAACACAAAATTGAATGTAATGTTTTGTTATTCTATTATTAATTTTTAAATTAAAACGTAATTAGTCTATCTAAATGTTTTTTGTTTTTGTTTTATATTGTGTAGTTATCTTCAAGGTCTATGATTCGGATGGTAATGGGAAAGTTACCTTCAACGATATGTTGGATGTATTGCATGATTTGACCGGACAGTTTGTATCGGAACAACAGAGAGAGGTTAGGTTTCGTTAGCTTCCTTTTGCTTTATTTATTTAGTTCATTTTGATGTGTTTCTGTAAATTTTTATATATGGTAAACGATAATGTCTGATTCAAATAGGAAAATGTGTGTGCCGCTTTGCATACTTAGAGTTTGTTTTAGTTTTAAGAAGAAGATATAAGGGGACAGCTACTTTTTAGTGAAGTTTTTTGGATTTATTTAGTGGAGACATTCTTTTTGTGAATAAGGAACAATCTGGGCTCAATGATTCAATATATATGGAGGTTTAGTTCTGTTTTTTTTTTTTTAAACAAAAAAACAAAGAAAAAAAGATTGCCTTATTATTCTTACTTTAATTTTTGTGTTTTCCTAATTAATTTTTTCTTCGTTATGAAAAAGAATGGGAAATAAAGGTTTACACGTTTTCTAGAAAATAAATGTGACTCCAGTTTGGGTTACTTAAGACATCCTTGCAACAACCTTTGGAAGGTTTTTGGAATGATAATTGTTTAGGTAGTGGATCGATTAACTGATCTAATGAATTAATCTCTCTAAAGCTGCCACAGATTATGCAGATGTGCTTTCGAGTAATCAACTTGGGCTAATAAATTTGGCAATTGACAATTGGTCTCTTTGTAATTTAGGGTGCATGAGGATGATTTTTAATTTTATCAAAGGTACAATTTGAGTTTTTAAGAACATTATAGTGCCTCCATGGAGTATTGGATTTATTTGAGATTGATGCAGAGGCTTAGTTGAGTAGAAGTGAGTTTTATGTGGTGCTATATTTAGGAATCTGGAAAACCGTGGTGGCAAAGTTTTACTGGCTTGTAGTTAAACTGATCTCCAAGCACATTGTTTTGAATTTTTTCAGGGTTTTCCTTTAATGTGTTATAGTTTCAGTTATAATACATGAATCAATTCTGTTGAGATAAAATCAATTGGAAAAAGGGAATTGTAATCTTCATGATGGAATAGTCCCTTGTTATTGCCTACAATATGAACTTGAATATATATGAAATTCTTGTCCTAATATCTTTTTGTTATGATATCAGTAGCCATTGCTAAAGTAGTTTAGCAATGTTTGTTTTTACTCAAACTGAGGGCTGGAGTGGTTATGAAGTGAGGATTGCCTAGTTTGCAAATTAAAAAGTCAAAACACTTTAGTTTCCAATTCATGTGATCTTAGTGACCAACAGTATCAGATGTGATTTCAAGCTTTTGCTTGGTTAATATCATAGAAGTAGGATTGCTTTGAAACTTACTGTTTCTTGATATGTACATCCGGTGTTGACATGTGTTGTGGATTCATTCTTATGTTTGGTGCAGCAAGTGCTGACATGTGTCCTTGAAGAAGCAGGCTACACAAAGGATTCTTTATTAGTTTTGTCAGACTTTGTAAAGGTACTGTCATTTATATCTGGTATAGATCGTATTAACAACATTGAGAGTGTCATGAACTTAGTAACCATAAGTAAACTTGATTATCTAATTTTTTAGATTGTACTGTGTATCATCCTTACCCCAGTCACCTGATTTATACGATAAACTAAGCTTGATCAGTTGTGCTCATACGTTACACATGCACAATAAACTATAAATCAGTCTCTGGTGATCACAACCCTCAACTTAGTGACATTACTATAGGTTTACTTTTTTCTTTCTTCTTTTGTTCTTTTTCCTCTATCGTCGAAACTATTGTTACAGACTTTGGATGGCTTTCCTTAAGATAGAATTTTCTTATTATACTCTGGATAAACTTGATGTTTCCTTGTCTAAAGGGGGATTAGGTTGAAATTTTGTGCCTTGGGAATTAACTTTCAGGCTTGCTTCTCAGGTTGAGAATTTGTGACTCCGAAAATAATGCAATAACATGGGAGTCCAAGTGGTGTTGAATTGCTGCTGTAACTGTTGCGGTTACAGACTGTAGCAGGGTGGTCTTGTGGTACAGCTGCTATGGCATCAGTAATGGGGGCTTGATCTCGAAACTATTTTCTAGTCCTTTCCAGCATAGCATCCGAAGTTAAGTTTTGGGTTATGGACCTGGATAGTAGACTAGAGTTATTAAAATCCTAGTTTTGTCCTATTGGTTTAAGATTAAAAAATGTGGTAAACTATGAAGTCAATTTTGAAACTAATGCAAGTAGAATTGCAAATGTTAACTTTAGGTAGAAGGCGTTATTGGAAAGAAACTGTCATGGAGAATTTCGGCCAAGTCTCTATTTGACTCCTGCATTGGAAAAGAGAGGGGAAGAGTTCCCTTGTCTAAAGACTTTGTTCAATACCTTATACAGGGTTGCTTTGGTTGCTCAAGCAAATTGCATAGGATATGGTTAGCTTTTGTTGGGAGATTATGATTTATGGAATCTATGATTGTCAAGTTGACCTAAGAACACATTATGCATTATCTATGGCTGTCAGCCAGAAAAGCTTCAATTATTAATACAATCAGGTCCTAAACCTTTCCTGTCTTTGTTGTTAGACAGGTTCTAAATTTTATTTCCATATGCTTGTAGATGCCATCCATTTGTTTAATCACTATAATTATTGATTCTTTCTAACCTCATATGTGGTAGCATGAATCTGGGTGCGGCATTTTCCTTCTCATCATCATCTTCCCCCATACCTCATTGAATTCTCACCATAATTTAGGGCATGTGCAGTTCTAACCTTCTTTGAATCTGACCTCCCATGCACCCCACTCAACTCAGATCTGATCATGATTTTTTTTTTCTTTTAGTGTTATTTCAACCACTGAAAGATGTTACATTTTCATTTCTTTGTAAACTTTTATGGGATTTTTTTGTTTTGTTTTATTGCCTTAAAACTGGCCATTTGAACTTCCATCGTTCCACTATTTGTTTCTTAAAACAGTGGAGCCTTTCCCATAAGATTCTTGCAACATACATCTATCTCTTAACAATTAATTAGTCACTTTCTCCAATAACTAGTTCTTGAAATTCATCTCTAGTGCTCACTATTGCTTCCATTATTTTGCAGATTGTTGGAAATTCTGATTTGAAGATGGAAGTTGAAGTTCCAGTGGACTAAATGCAGTTGGTAGCGAATAAAGTTGCAAGTTCAGCCTAGACTATGGAGTGTAGCCTGAATTCTGTAGGCAAAAAGTGTGAGCTGCCACACTTCTCTGTAAATCAATTTTCAATGCGTTTGTTGTAAGGTATCTAATTTTAGATAGTTTAGCATCATCTTACATTACCTTGCGTTCTGGATTCCAACTAGTTGATAATGATTCAAGCAATGAACAATTTTGCAATTGTCAGTGTTTTAAATGATGGATGGGTTTACAGAGGGCCTAGAAACTCTTCTAGCATTCAATCCTAAATGCCCTTTTCTATTGAGCCGTCCAAACCTCACCCAGATCTTCCCTAAATGCATCCAGGGTCTTCGCATCAGTGGCTTAGCACTATGTATGTGATTTCATGCACCCCTAATTTAAATGGCCTTTAACTACAAAGTTTATTATTTCAAAGCCCAATCTTTATAAAGATCCTTGTCCTTTTTTCTTATTTTCCTAATACATGTGCTCTTAATAGTTTTCTTTTTCCACCCTGAACTAATATCTCTAATCCAACGAAGCCTCATGGCCAGGGTGGCAATAACTTGGTTCGATCCCATAGTAGAATTCAGTCCATGCTGTAAGGGTTGAGAGTTGAGACTCTTTCAATGGTCAGAACAAGAAGGGTGCTAATTGCCAAGGGTTTATCTCCATTTCCATTTTCTTATAGGATTAGAATTTGTTTAATTTAGTCCACTAGTGTATACCACATTAAAAATTTCGAACCTTGTTGGATTCTATTTGTCACGCGTGATGTACAGGGAGATTGATGATGGCAGATGGCATCATCACTGATAATGATCCTGTTTCGACGTACAAAAGTTTAGTAGTTTCTGTTGGCTCTAGATCGACCATGATAATGGAAACCCAAAAAAAAATGAAAATGACAAAAATAAATAAATAAATACAAAGAATGGAACTCTGCCATCATAACTAGCTTTACTTAGTGACACTAGTCTAAAATTTAAAACCTCTCCCTTCTCTTAGAAGCCGCAGCGTGTGTGGTGATGGGGCCTTTTAATAGCCGTTGAAACCGCTTTTTCTTAACGACTTTCCAAAGCTTGAAAATATATCCTTCTTACGTCCGTTGAGAAAAAAGAAGCAATGGCCCACATAGAATCATTAATCTAATTACAAAAAAAAAAAAAGAGAAAAAACTCAATTAATAGCATAAATTTTACAAGTGAGAGGAAGATTGTGTATCCTGGTCAAATTGCCAATAAGGTTACTAGATTTGGATCAGGTGCATATTTGTCTTAACATGTATTTGTACATTCTCACTCCCCATCCGTTATGAGGAATTCTGCCATTTCCATGTTAGCACTATTTGAATACTTAACTTGCAAGATAATTGTACATTTATGTCAAATCTCATCTCTGCTTTGTAAAAAAGCAATGGGAAACCAATGATGCTTCTTTTAGTTTATTCTATTGAGCTATGTTTGGAAAGAGAATCTGCAAATTATGAGGTTTTTGTTTGTTTAATGTTTGCTTCAAAAAAGTGCGGTCTTGTCCTAGAATCTTGTGCAGATTTTTTATGCGTTAAAATCGCAAACCTTTCTCGTCTGTTTAGCTATTCTTTCAGGTTTTACAGATAAGGAACTTGCTTCATTGTTGGCTTGCTGGTTTTTGGACCAGACACTGTGATATCTGGATTTGTCGAGGAGGACAGCTCATCTCTGCTAGCAGTCTTCTTCTCTCTATCGGCTCATGCTCCAAGGAGTAAATATATATACTGCAGGTGATACTCAAATTTCCTTTCTTATTCTTTTCTTTTTTCTTTTCTCTACGCAGTTTATTTATTTCATAGAATGATTTATTGTGTTTTCTATTGTTTTCTCCAATATCTTATATCATTCCCTCCCTCCCTCTTCTTACATCTTTCGGGATTTCCCTGAGATTCTTTCTTCCTTATTTTTTGTTGAGCTTATGATTTATTTTTTCACATCTAATGAAAATGGTTATCACATCTCTCGAGTTGTTTCTGTCAAACCATTATTTGTTCTGCTATATCTTAGTTTAAATTATGGACACGTTGCTTGTGCGATCAAATCCCCCTTTTCGTCGGGGTCTGTTTTCTGGAGGGAGGGTACTGATGCAGAAGGGGGTGTTTGAGGCGAGAGCCACCCAGTTGTGTAAAGGATCAAAGAATTTTATCTTTGTATTCATATCTATAACCAAAAGACATAGAACTGTTGCTTGCAAATGTGTTAGTTGTTGACCCTGTGTACCTGCCTATATCTGCCTGCTTGAACTCTCATGGTGCTTTCTAGTATAATTTTTAATTCATTGTCTATGTTGCTGAAGATACTTTAGTGAAATTTGAAATGAATAAGAAAAATTGTTAATGGGTTATTGACTAAAAAGGAGTTGCTGCTATTTTGTGCACAGGAAGGAATCAACATTTGATTTATTGCTTATGGATGAAAGTAGTTCATTACCGGCGCCTGAAACTAATATTACAGCTCTCAAAGAAGCCCTTTACACAAAGCAAGATCTTCTACAAAAGCTTTACAATGAGTTAGATGAGGAAAGAGAAGCCTCAGCCTCTGCAGCGAGCGAAGCATTATCCATGATATTGCGGCTGCAAGGAGAAAAGGCCTCACTGAAGTTGGAAGCAAGCCAATATAAGAGAATGGCAGAGGAAAAGATGTGTCATGCAGAAGAAGCTCTGGCAGTTGTCGAAGAACTCATATACCAGAGAGAACTGGAGATTGCATCTCTTGAATACCAAGTTCAGGCTTATAGGTACAGACTTATAAGCATGGGCTGTAATGATTTGGGCGTGTATGAGAATACATTTCCAGAGAATCTGTTAATGCAAAGAAATGATGCTTTATGTGGGGAAAGTGTTGCCAATGGCAATATAAGGAAATTCAACTCTCTGCCTCAGGTTTCAACCAAGGACGCCAATTTCAATAAAAGTACTATTGAAAGAAAAAGATCTGTAGTCCCAGTGCCAGATTCAATGGAAATCGATGTGGAGGAAATTGCAATCCGAGAAGTTAATGATTCAGAGAAGAAGTCAGGGAGTTCTGGTGCAGAGACTAATTCCTATTGGGAGCAGATCAAAAGGTTGGATGAAAGGGTAAAAGAGATTTCTGATGGCAAAGATTCCGGCAGAAATAAATCTACAATCTGGAAGGGTGGCACTTGGTCCCCATCATTGTTTTCACAAATGGGCATTGGCTCGTCTGGCGATGCAACAAGAAAGATAAATGCTATTCACTCGGACAAAGTTAAGCAGCATCAAGATTCACAGGTAAGTGTCCAGGATATTTTTGAAGTCCCGCAAATTACGGAGAGTTGCAAAGTTTCTGAACCTCCACTGAAAGAACGTCACAAACTGACTTTGGAAGATGAAAACAGGCTTCAAAAGCCAGATATAGCATCCGAGGATATTCCTGAATCACCTAAGAAAGATGAAAGAGATCTGGTAAAGACAATGTTCCTTTCGACTGATCCATGAGAAGAAATTACCTAAGCAAAGAGAGGGGACAGGTGTTGAGAAGAAATTGCCTAAGCCAAGAGAAGGGACTAGCGTCCACCGCAATGTGTCTCCTACAGGCCGCCCAACATTTAGTGTAAGCAATTCTCAAGCTGAGTATCAACAGCTGAGTCAGAGAGTTGAGAGGCTTGAGAGAGCAAGAAACAATACCAGACAAGAAATTATTGCTGAAGGGGAAGAGGAATTGAGTTTGTTGAAAGAGATACGTGAACAACTCAATTCAATACAGTCTGATATCAGAAGCTTGACAACAAAAAAACCCCATGTTCCAGATGAGCCACCTTTAGATCTTCTCCAAGAACCTTTAGATCTTCTCCAAGAGGTATGTCTTCTCCTCTCTCTCTCTCTCGCTCATGCATCCAGGCATAGCAAGACTTGCTATTCGCTAATACGTACGTGCAAATTGAATTCTTCGTATGTTTAGTTCAGTTAAGATTTGGATATCACAAATATTATTCTTATTTTCAGGCAATGCTATACTTTTGGTTTTAATTCAAGCAATCAAGTTTTTACGGTCTCAATCTTCATGAATTCTCGGGTTTTGATGAGTTCTGCAACAAGGAGTCGCTAAGAATATGCTTTAAGTTTTAATCGAATGGAGGGAATATTATACAGTAGATATGTGGATTTTATTTGATTTGTTGTACAAATCTGTAAATGTTGTGCAGTGATTCTAAAGTTTTGGTTTCATTAGAATGTCTTAGGCATGCTGTCATTTTGGTTTTGTTTGATCTCCTGATAGGGATGTTGATTGTAAAGTGATGAATACAAGGCTATACTTTGCTCTATTTGGCAATCTGTCTGCTACTTTTCTATTCCTTCTTGTTTCAATAAATGGTGAAGTGGTAGCAAATTTTTTTTTTTTTTTGAAAGAAGCAGAACTCTCAATTCTAGTTCATGAGTGGAATGGACATGGCTATTTCAGGTTTCATTTTCCTCCCAATTGAAATTCCAAAGGAGCTCTCAACGTGAAACTGGCATGTTAGGAATTGGCTTCAGAGTGTTTTATAGTGTCTAGCTTGTGATGCTGCTTGGTTTTCTTAACTTCATTAGTAAATTAATATTGGCAATAATTATGTTAATTATTTATGTCTATGAATTTGTTTCATAGATGCATGATATCCACAAGTTGTACTTTTCTTTTGCTTGTTTTGGCTGGTTGATTCTATTCATTATAGGCAAATGAAGTGTAGATTTCTTCTTGTTTCTTACCCTTCTCTGATGCTGGACTGGGAAAGTATTTCTCTTCCAACATCGTGGAGATTTGATTACCAATAATCGTTTTATATCCTCAAGAGTTGACGCACAGTATCAAAAAGATTGTTGCATATTTTATTTATATATGTTTCAAAATATTTGTTTTTTTTTTTTTTTCAAAACCTTAAATGATATGTTTTTTAAAATGCTCTTTATTTTAATAAAGAAAATTAATTTTTTTCTTTCATTCTATGTTCTTAACTAACAAAAAATCAATTTTTTTAAAATTTTTTTATACATATAAATATTTTTAACATAATTTTTTGAACAAGATTATTATCTAAAAAATATTATTCTTATAAAAACTTTACTGTATGTCAAAATTTTAAAAGTAAAACATTTTTATTAATATGTTATTTTTTTCATAATTCATTTGATTTGATGGTTAATTAACTTAATGGTTTTTTTTTATTTATCACATTAATTTTCAATAGATTTTCTCCTTTAATTAATATTAATTTCATGTAATATAAGATTAAATTTTAACTAACAATTTTAACAAAAAGAATAGTTTAAAAAATATAAATAAAAAATATTAGTATAACATAACAATTAATAACTTTCTTAAACTAAATGAAAAGTAAAAAAAAAAAAAAAAAAATCCAAAGAGAGTTATATATTGGGATAAATTTCTGCCTATTCCAATGGAGTAGTGAATGTAACAGTCTTTCGAAGCAGTGAGACACCTGAAGATTACCATTGTCAAATAACTTCCTCTTACAACAGAGGAAATCTGACCAGAAGCAATCGTTCTGGTTACTAGTGTTGAAATGGCAATTTTGATGTCCAAATACGATCTTTTTAATTTTTTTCAACAGATGGCAATACAAAATCATATCAGTCAATTCATATTTACTAAAACAAACTTATTATATATGTTCTCTAACTTAAGGTGTACTCCTTGGACCATCTGCCTGGTTACATCGGAATTTTGTTAAGCAATGGATAAAATCATTTCAATTACAAATTGATAAGAAATAAGAAGTATGAATTGAAGCAATATAATAAAACAATGATGAGTAGATTATTTAAAAAAAAAAATAATTCGAGATGTTACACTAGAATATATTCACTATAAACACATAATAGCTAGAGCCACAACAAATATTATCCTTCTTGTTTATTGGTGATTTTATTCTAAAATTACAAAATAAAAAGCAAGAAAATATCCATTTTTATCCTTATAATACTTTTATTTACAAACAAATTATAACTAAAAAAAAAAACAATCAGTTTTTAACTACCTTAATTCCTACTCCATCATGTGTTGAAGAGGGGTAGACATATCTAAATTTGTATTTTTTCAAATTCGTAAGAATATTTTTGTTACTTGCTACTATTGTTTGAGTAGATTTTCAATATAATTTAAAGAATATATAGAATTAACATACCAACTCTTAGTTTTCTCCAATATTTCATTTTTTAATTTAATAATTATTTTAAATTTAGACATTATTATAAATATACAAGAATCAAAATAAGGATGATATAGTATCATGCAAATTGGTTTGATTTCATACTTATCTTATGGTTGTAATTATAGCTAAATACATACGGTTTACCCTATAATTGATCCTTGTACAGCTTTCATTTTTTTTTTATTAAGACTCTCTATTATTTTTCAGTTTAATTAAAATCTTCTATTCTTATAAATTTATTGATTGAGACACTCAATTATAATATTGTTAACTAATTATCCCACGTGCCAATCAAGAACTCGACATGTGGAAATATGGATCAAAAAATTTATCACGTGCCGTTGTCTAATTGGCTACCATTAGTTTTAACTTGTCACACATGATGAATAGTTAACGGCATTATAACGAATGGTCGCAATCGATAAATTTGTAGGAGTAGAAGATTTCAATCAAGCTGAAATATAATAGAGGGTCTCAATTAAAAAAATTAAAATTATACAAGGACTAATTATGGGGTAAACCCTAATATGTATGAATTTGTACCTACACACCATAAAAGTTGTTTTTTGTGTTTTGCTTATAAAATGGATCAAAGTTATTTAATGTCTAAAATCTTAATTTAAATTCATTTATATATCAACACAAAGAAATATGCAATATATAAAATAATTATAAACCTTAATTTAATTTCAATCATATCACATTATTATTATCATTAAGTCTAAGATCTTTTAAGTTTATCAATTTTGCTCTAAATATAATTGACATTAGACAATGTCATCTCTCCATTTATTTATATTTTAACAATCATAAAAAAAAAAAAAAAAAATTTCATTCAATCTGCACATATTTATTAAGTAGTTTCATTCAAAATGTCAAAGTTAGTCTCAATTTGTCTTTGAAGACAATTTTAGCGTTAAACCATTATTCCTAATACCTTTCAATCATTGATAAATGATATTTTTAGGCATTTTCTTCAAAAATTCATTCTAGTGATTTTTATGATATTTTAATCTTTAGTAAAACTTTACATGAGTGTATTCATCATTTGAAAATAGCATTGAGTGTGTTGAGAGAGAATTCCTTGTTTACTAAACATTCTAAATGTACCTTTCAAAAGGTGGAGTATTTATGGTAATTTATATATGCGAAGGGGTCTAGATCGATCCTAAAAAATTAAAGTGGTGCAACAGTGGCCTATTCCATAGAATCTAAAGCGATTGAGAGGGTTCTTGGGGCTTACAAGTTATTATAGATGCTTTGAGAAGGGTTATGATAGAATAGCTAAACCTCTAACAAATTTGCTCAAGAAGGATGCATTTACATGGAACCCTATTGTTAATAGAGCCTTTATGGAGTTAAAAAGTGCAATGGGTTACAACTCCAGCTTCGGCATTACCTCACTGGAATGATGATTTTGTAATTGAAATTGATGCTTATGGAGGAGAAATTGGGGCAATGTTAATGCAAAAAGGTCATCCTATTGCTTACATTAGTAAGTTGCTAAATCTTAAGCATCAAACACTATCCATATATGAAAGGGAGTTACTAGCCACTCTATTTACTCGTCAATATGTGGCATCAATATTTAGGGAATCGATACTTTATTATTAAAACAGATCATCAAAGCTTAAAACACTTGCTAGGGTAGCAAATCCATACCTCTAATCAATTTACTTGGTTAGTTAAATTTATGGTGTATGATTATGAAATTGTGTATAAAAAGGGTAAGAAAAATATAGTTGCGGATGCTCTTTCATGAATGTAATTAGCAAACATGTTGTTTCCTTTATTTCTACTAACTTGATGACAAAGATTTGAGATTCTTAGAGTTCGGATCCGATTTTATCAATTGTAATGTCATAATTACAAAGTCCCGAAAGAATGCATCCAAAATATGCATGGTAAGTCCAACGATTATGAAGGAAATGTGGGTTAGTGGTTGGCAATGTAGGTGGATTTCATAATGAACTAATCTCATTATTTCATAATTTAATAGTTAGTGGACACTCTAGGGTTAAAAGTACCATAAAAAAGTTAGCAACTATATTCTATTGGAAAGGACTACTAAAGTATATACGTGAATATATGCAAAATTATAAGGTTTGTTAAGAATGTACGTACAAAAATATAGTAGCTCCAGTGTTACCGAATTCACTCGCCTTTACCTTATGCCATCTTCATTGACATAACCATAGACTTCATTGAAGGTTAACAACTTCTTAAGGTAAGTTAGTGATCTTTATGGTCATGGATAGGCTTAATAACTATGCCTACTTTATGTCTCTCTCCCATCTTTATTCTACCAAATTAATACCTACATTGTTTATGAAACATGTGTATAAATTAGTCTCTCTCCCATCCTTATTTTTCCAAATCGGTAACTACAATATTTATGAAACATGTGTATAAATTACATGGGTTGTCATAAATAATTGTTTCTAATAGAGATTCGAGTGTTTTTGAGCAAATTCTAAAAGGATTTATATGTTTATCAAGGAGTTTCATTACATTTCTCTACCGCATATCATTCTCAAACCGATGGACAATCAAAAGTAGTTAACGAGTGCTTACAAACTTATTTGAGGTACATGACATCCGATATTCTTAAAGTTTGGCATAAATGGTTATGTCTAGCCGAGTTTTGGTATAATACTTCCTTTCATAATTCTCCTTTCAAAGCTCTCTATGGTCGTCCTCATCCTATTCATCTACCTAATCTGCTAAATGACTATAAGGAACTAGAGGTTAATAAGCTTTTACAAGACAAAAAGAATGTCATTGTAGTGCTTACACATCACTTTACCAAAAAAAAAAAAAAGTGAATGAAAGTGTAGGATGATAAAAAAAATGTATTAATGGAGTGTTTCACATTGAAAATTGGGTTCACTTAAAGTTACAACCTTATAAGCAGCAATCAATGATTTTCGGGAAGAATTAGAAGCTTTCTCCTCGGCTTTTTTTAGCCTTTTAAGTTTATTGACGGAATTGAAGATGTTGCTTACACTTTATAGTTACCTTCTTACTCTTCAATTTATCATACTTTTCATGTCTCACAACTCAAACTTTTTTGACATCTTCTTTCTA